TTACTCATTTTTTCATGCTTAGTTAAGTGGTGTTTTTATATTAAATGTAGCTTGCATACAATATCTCCTAAAAATGTCCAAACATTGCACTTTAGACAGTTTTCACCAATATTTGACCCGATATAGCCAAGAACCTATAAAACATGGAATGATGTTTGTCATACCATTAATAAGTACCATATATGTGTTTATTATTTTCATAAAAAATTCATGTTATTCAATAATAGTGTACCCATTGTAGGCACTGTTATGCATCACAGTTATTAATTTTTTTGTGCATTGCGACCCCTAGATGACCATGTTGACAGTAATTCATATTTTGCACACTTATTAGCCTCAGTAAGTTCTAGCTATGGTAAAAATTTCATGTTGGTGTCTTAAGCCTTTCCTACTAAATCAATTGCTAATTAAAATCATATTTTGTTAAGTTTTTTTAAAAATATTTTTGTACATTAAAGTTTATTGTGGTAAATTATCAAAGCAATGAATTGTCAATTAAATTTTATGAAAAAATAGTTAGTTTAAGTTACAAAATCAAATTATAGACTATTTTAATCAACAATACAAGCAACCATGTTAAGCGATATCAGCGTATGGTGCAAATGCATTTAACTGTTGGTATCTTATCTATTTACACACAGTTCTACTATCAAACAGTTTCTTGCAATTGTCAAAATGCTCATCATCATAGAAATACTGTCTTGCTGAACTGCCAGACAACATTGGTGGTGGAAGATTGCACAGCACATTAGTGAATGGTATCCAGCACATATCTTCACGATGTGGCTAAGTTAATCTGTTTGCAAGTGTTCTGTTCATGAACTTTACCATGATATCTTGATGTTCATCAGAATGTTCTGTTATGCAACCAATAAACCAATCAGTGTCATAAACAACAGCCACAAACTGTCCTGGATCAAGTGCCAGGTCAGGTTCTGGTGACACATTGACGATTGTACCCAAGTCATCACATGACAACCTGAATATCTTCAGTTTGTTTTCACTTACTGCCACAAACCGGTGGTGTGACCGTGTGCCAGGAACAGTTTGAATTGAAGCAAATTGTTCAACCAAACAGCTACGATGCACCTCGACGTCATCTTTTGCTGCAAAAAAGAAGTGAATTCTTGGAATGTTTTTGGTTGCCCAATCGTACATCTGATGTGGCGTTAGTATTTGATTTTGCAGAGTTGCCTGCAAACTTGCTCTTGCCACTACCCTTTTTACTGTACCACCAATACCATTACAAGGACTTTTTCCATAACTGGTAGCAAAAAAATTCGTCTCCGCTTCAATACCAAAATCTGTTTTATGCATGCACAGGTTCCTTAAGTTTTTGCAGTTTTTATATTGTGCTGCTGCTCCATCACTGAAGTAAACTATTTTCTGCAAGTCAGGCATTTTGCTCCTGAGAAATGTCAGCACTATTTCAATGAAAGCTTAGAC